AAGATTAATAAGAGGTATTCTGAATTCTTTTATCTGGAACAAGAGAAGAATCTCATTAATCTATATGACGTCTGCTTCTTTCATATTCTTTGTGTGGCATGCGGCATGTACAGAAATAAAGGCTCATTATAGAGGTCTGCATTGCGAGTATGGTGTTTGGTAAGGCCAAGTACAGTAACACTAATTAGGCTGCATATTATGCACATTCAATTCAAAGGGAGATATCTAAATCCACATCAGGTGACCTGCTGTTAGCAGAAATGGCATGCAGCAACACAAAACACGTAATAAGACACTTTTTCTTTCATCAAAGAAAGTGCTCATAGCAGACTGTGTTGTGTGTGTGTGTGTGTGTGTGTGCTCTCACCCCAAGTGAAACGGGTTGACCACTGGGTTAAATGCAGAGGTAAAATTTCATGTATGAACCTGTATGTATATGGAGATTGTAATAAAGTTTAAGTCTATGAATAAAAATAAAAAAATCATTCAACTGACTCAGTTTGCGACAGTGCACGAGGGTTAAGGTTAGGCGGGGTTTCCTTTGATCCATACGCGTCAAGGGAAAAATGTCAGTTAGCAACCTACCATCAAGTAAACAGTAGACACGTAACAGCAACAGCGGAGTCTGTCTGAAGTGACGACGTTTTTACAAATTACTGGATAATTTCAAATCAGACTGCAGGAAAATCTGTACCAAGTATCGCAAAAAACAAGTAGAACCAATCTCACCCATAAAAAGGACATTGCACTCTTAGAAACAAACAGATCAAGTGCTGGGACAGGACTGAGCAGGACAAAGGATCTCCTCTTGGTGTTATACAAATGACAACACGCATCAGATCCAGAAATAATCTCAGCCCTTTTACTTTGGCAGACCAATGGACACAGGTGTTGGACCAGCGATAGAGACAGCTCCCTGGCACAGAGGAATGTACTGATGAAATACTAAGATATTGTGTAAGCTTGTCCTCTGCTCTTAGTGCCATTATACACGGGTAACAGAAGCCCTGTAGGAAGGTAGGCAGTCTTGGGGACCGACAACAGGACTATAATCACAGCCAGAATAGTCCATCCTGACAGAGGTGACCTCTACATCCTGCTGAGCTGATTGACAATTTTCCAGCAGCAATATGTGATTATAACCACAAGGAGCCATTGTAATGCTCACTACAAGAGGTTAAGTGCCGGCAGAAGCCATGCTGCCTCAGACCTTGAGGAAAGAATCGAACGAACAGTGTGTCATGGCATAACAACAAACTGACTCTTGACCTTTCCCGACTCTAGACTTTTGAGAAAAGCAACATAATAGTTGTGGAGGTTTTTAATCCTTACAGCTTGCTCAGAAATGTGTTAGTGCAAATGCAGTGTTTTGCAATATAACTTTGGGAAAATAGATCCTGATAAAACAATATAACAATATATATATTTTTTTTTATTTGAACCATAAATGGAACCTTTTGGAGAATTGTGACTGTGTATAACATGCGACAAGAATTTGACAAGGGTTAATGTTTTCATTTGACTATGTTTAAAAGTTTTTATTGAAGTTTTGATGTTTTACCTTCTCTATAACAATGATTATAGGCCTTGTGGTGTTTTTAATGCTAATATCACAGTTAATATCACAGTAACTAGATGATCTGAACTAAAACTGGTTCAGGAATATGGATTGGAAATCAGATATTGTGACTTTTTACGCTCTATTTTTACTATTTTACACTTTCAATTAACTGTTTAATACTTCGGGTATTGTATTACATTATTTGAAGTCATGTATGCTTTATCCAGGAAGATGCACTTAAGTTTATTCATGCCCACTTTAATTTGCAGAGTGCCACTAGAGATTTTTCAACTCCTAATTTCATGACCACAGCCTGGCTGACAATGCAGCATGAGGATCTTATGGAGGCACTGAAACCTCTGAGGGGAGCGGTTGTTGACAGGGAGGGCCAGCGTCTTTGCCACCGAAGAAAGGGTTTCATGCTGTGGAAGATTTCCCCAAAAGAACTGAAAAATGTCTCTTTACACAACCTTATAGTAGGACAAATTTTGAGCGGACGACGCCGTTCATGTTCTCTGTGATTTGCACCATATCTGGAATGCAACTCAACCTGTGGCACCACTGCAATTGCCCTTTAAGGGAGGGAAAACCATCATTCAGCCTTTGCGTACTATGGCAACAGTGTACTGCAGTAATGTTCTGCCAATAAGTCAGTCTTTGAATGTCCAAGCACGATGGGGATCACCACCACACATGCCAAAACCGTCCTCAAGCAACATAGCATGGCAACAACCTGTGGAGAATATCTAGAATAGCTTATATGATTTAAAAAAAACGATACCTTGGTGTGGAACTGCAAACCAATTCAATGTGCCTTGTGTAATGATCCCAATGAGTTAAAAGTGACTTACCTTTAATTACATTCAAGGTGCATTAAGTCTCAAAATGACAATTAATTTGGTCGCAAAGGTTATCAATAATAAAATAAAATACAAAAAAAATAAAAAATAGAATAAAATGTGTACGTCCATGTACAGTCAAGTGGTTTTGACACATAGTAAGTAATTTCCCTGGTTCCATTCTACATTATTTACTTTCAACAAAAGGTTTAATAAATAGGATAAATATCTTTTAAATAAACCAAAAATTGTATCAAGAGAAAGTTTAGCTTTAATTGTGTTTCCTTAAATCTGTGAGTTCATGCAGCATCGACCTCATCTCTGGGGTGTCTGACAAGCCTCCCTGTGGTTGTCCAGCTGCTGGTGGTGACACACCATTAAAAAAACACATTACAGACAAACAATCACGCAAACATAAAACGCCGGTAGTGTTTTTCAGGTCCACCTCTCCTCACCGTGATGTCATCATCTTCATCCAGTCTGAGAACCAACAAAGCAGGCTGTAAGTTCAGCTTCAAGTATTCTGAAGTTCTGGGCATCAGAGATAATGACATTCTCGTGAAGTGTAAATCACACTTAATGATGTCTGAGTGCTCATGTCTATTATATGATGTATGTATGATGATATCCTCCAATCATTTTCCTTGCAATGCTCACAGGATGGATGATCTGAGTGACATCTTGAGACAGAGAAATGTTCCTGAGGAAACTGCAAAAGCAACTGCAAAAGCTCTGAAGACAATGAGTAAAATAGAAATAGGACGGACGCATCAACGATAGTGAAAAAGAGGTTTTCAAGCAAGTGAGAGCCAGATGAGGAGGTGGAGCAACAAAAGTCGACGTTTCAAAGGATGCTCAGAAAAAGAATTTGATTCAGGAAGCAATCAGCCCGTTCTTTCCAGACAGGAGAAAGAGACAAGAAACATCAGTCTTCCACTTCTTCTCTCAGTCTCTCACCATCTGCTACATTTGAAACGGTCAACGCTAAAGTGATATTTCTTGGAAGTACTACAAGCAATGACAATTTTGACTTTGCACTATATTACACACAGGGTGGGCGTGAGGATGTTTTTGAGAGCAGCAACGTTGTCTTTGTTGGAGACTTCTGAAAATGAGCAACAGAATTTAGATGATACACTGCCTGTTTCACTACAAACAATGCCATCCAGTGAGAGAGTGAAGAGCATGTTGGTTGTTCAAGGAGGGCAGGTACTGCCACAGCTCATGGCACATTTCTCTGATGATGGACTTCAAGATGTTGACATCAAAATCCATCTTGTACTGCCAGATGGAACACCTGAGATGGGGTATGATGATGGAGGAGTTGGGAGAGATTGTCTTTCACAATTCTGGAGTGAATTCTACACCAATGCGCAACGGGAGATGCTCTTAACGTTCTTTTTCTAAGGCATGATTTTGGGCAGCAGCAGTGGGAGAGTGTAGGTCAAATAATTGCTTTTGGATGGGCGAGGGAGAAGATCACGCCTGTCACATTGGAGCAAGCTGCCTTTGGATATGTGGATAGTAATGTAGTGGATAATTTCGTCAAATACATGCCTGAGGTTCTTCCTGGAGAAAGAAAAGTATTATTGACGTTAACTTAAGGACGTTTGGGAGCTGGTACTGCTAAATGGAGTTTTCATGGTGTTCAACAAGAGACAAAGTTTTTAGTTTTGTCCATTGCTACAATTCTACAGCCACATAACAGCTCGGGGTTCAGAGGGTTAAGAATTTCTGGTATTTAAATATTTCTCTGATTCCAGGATGAAGCCTTAGCTGGTGCAGTTCTCACTCGTGTCCAACAGGGAGCGATGCAGAGATGTAGAATCTCCTTTTGTGTTAAAAGGATTCCTGCCAGATGCACCATAAAATCTGCACGATAGTGCATTGTCTTTAAAGCCAGTGGGAAAAGGCGGGGCAATCACTGCCATTTTACAGTTTAAGAACACTTATTTTGCCTCTCCTGCTATTATAACGTTATTATGATTCAATTATTGGCAAAGGGATGGATTTACACACATTTAATGCATTATTCACAATTACAATTGGCCGCAAAATACAGTAGACTAAATCACAAATGACATGGTTGAGATAATCTGTAATAGATCTGTGTGTTTTACACTGTTTGGCCAACAGGTGGTTGTGTGTGCACGTGAAGCCTGAGGAAATGAACCCTTTTGCAAACCAATTTGCTGGAAAACTTAAATGCAATGGTGCATTCTCCTTAAAGCCAGTGGGGAAAAAGGCAGGGTGACAAGTTGATCACCCCCACTGGTTCATACATTTTCTAAAATGCAACAAAAGTGAGATAAAAAAGTGACCTGTATTGCCTTTCCACTGTAGAACATGTGACAATGAGCCATATGTGCAACCAGGCATGCTCAAAAACCGACTGCATTCTGGTGCATACATTGTTTTGTTGTAGCAGTTGAGTGTGTGGGAGGGGAAGAAGGAGGACACTAGTCAGAGTCTGAGATGGAGCTTTCTTATTTATCGTGTTGACACCAACTTGTTGGAAGAAATTGCAGCTCCGCAGCGCTAAGTTGACCATCACTACATCAATCAAAGTCATGACTGGAAAATAAAATGAACCAAACACGTTTTCACTTCAATGTTTTTATTTATCGCGCAACATAAAACAATATTGTGGGTTTTTTTACCACATACACTATGTATTCACATAATACACCATACAGCTACAAAGAGAGAGAGACTGAACAAAAACACTTTTTTACATACTGCATCCTTGACATGAAAATAAAGAACCAAGAACAATCCTAACTCAAAAAGGAAAGTAGCTGCCAGTTGTGTAGGTTCATCTTTTTTTTTTTTTTTTCTGTTTTGTACGGGCCAGGGTCCAAGACTCTATCCCAAATTTGGAGAGTGTTCATTAAATTAGGTATTCAACAGACTTCTAAATGTGGGCCATACACAGTGAGATGCATTTGTATATCTGTTTGTGTGTGTGTGTGTGTGAGAAAGAGAAAAATATACACGGTGTTAAGAATAAGAGAGGGGTTGAGTAAAGGAAGTGCATGACCAAGGAGAGGAAGGGGGGCAGAACACAACTATTCCTGTATTGTTCAAATATCTTAGCATTAAGTTAACATGAACGTGTACAACATACTCAAAAGATCATCTCAATAGCCTGTGATACTTGCGCTGCACCAAACATGAAACCCAGATAACAGTCTTCATATAATATGATTCTATATCTCATCCTAGTTTTAATAAGTTCAAGTACAATATGGAATGAATGTTAATAGAGAATGTAATCAACTGTTTGAGTGCCCCCCCCCTGCCCTCAAAGAGAGAAGTCATTTTGTAGCGTCGTAACAAAAGACTTCATGAAGTCAGCACCGGGGCAGCTTCCCATCCTGTGAAACTGCCTGAATCAAAAGTATACTTCTCTTGACATTCGAAGTGCTCAGAAAAATATTTGTGGTAATCATTTATCCCTCGCATTTTTTTTTTTTTTTTTACACAGTGAATTTTAAGGTGTAGCATCATAGCACCAGCTGACCGATCCCCCCCATCTCAGTACGAGCTTGGGAGGAGGCGCCTCTCATGATGAGCTTCCACCAACCTCTTGAGAAGTTAGAAATCTACAAAGTTATTAAGATATCATATACACTGCATCCTCAGCACCCATTTTTAGGCAAGTGTGTGTGTGTGTGTGTGTGTGTGTGTGTGTGTGTAATGTGGGCCATGCATTATGGTAGAAGAGTAAAATGGGCTGTTACTCTACCAGTACCAGCCCCTGCACCAGTCAAACTACTGTTGGCCATGTTGTGTGTATCATACGATTAATTATTACAAACACATGGTATCTTCCAGAGGGGCGTCATGATTTTTAAGCCAAGTTCATACTTACTATGATGAGAACTATTATGAGTAGATAATGATAGATACATCTAAACAAGCAGGGAGTCTCTTACCTGATAGTCTAACACAACTGACAAAGATTGCCGGTCTGGGCTATTACTCCCTAAAACGTCGCCCACTGGTTCACCTCAGCCTCGCTCTGCAACTACCAGTATGTTCCTAAACATCACTTCTTTGGATGCGGTCCTGCACATGATCGGTGGTCAATTTGTAAAGGGCAACTATACTGATATTAAGGAAATAGTTCAACATTTTGGGAAACATTAAGACTTAGATGAGGAGATATATACCTCTCTCCTTTCTGTACGCAGCCAGTTAGCTTAGCTTAGCATACTCTCGGCAAGAAAAGTAAATAAGCACATTTCCCAAAACGTCAAACTATTTATTTAAACAACAAACAGCACATAGTAGGTTTATGGCTACCTCTTTAGATTTGACTTTAGCTTACTGCCATTAGATGGCTGTTGTTTAGTACCATATAGTTACATTTGTTTTCAAGCGTAAATAGAAATTTGACATTGCTTTTAATTTGTAATGACAGAGTGTCTCTTGGGTTGTTGACACTTGCTGTAAAATGTCAAATGATGATTTACTGTCAAGCAGAAAAAGCTTTTCTAAAACCCTGAACTTCATACTTTTTGTAAGAATAAGGTTTTGGTCAGAGAACTGCATCATGGGGGATCCTCCAGTTATTTTGACTGTCGCCAGTGAGTGTCATGTGTGGTTTCATGTTACATAATTGGGCTAATGAATTTCTTTTTAGAAAGGGACAGGTCTCTGTCAGTTACATGTTGACAAGGGGTTACAGTACTTACGAAAGCAAAACAGCAGTGTTACTAAGCACACATTTACACACAACACATCGGGACCAAGTGTTGCTGAGGGCTGTCAGAGACTTCAAAATACCCCCTTGTCATTCATGGTTTAGTTACTATCCTCACCAGTTAAATAATCTTACCTAAATATTTTAATATTTACATTTTTATCTCTCTCTTGAGAAAAAAAACAAAAAAACAAAACAGAAAAACTAAGCTTCAAGTTATCAATAATCGGCTTTCTTTTTGTCATTAAAATCAAGATTAAAAGTGCTTTTATAAATCTTTTCTTCTCTATGTACAATTTGTATTAGCTATATAAAAAAAGATGAAAAAACAATAACATCAAAGACAATCATTATCATCATCACCATGTAGTAATAAATAAGAGTACAAATAAAAAAAAAAAAACAGGTTAAAATGAGTGTGGAGATCTAGAGCACACAAAGGGACATATGCATGATTTCTGCCCTCAGTAGCAAGTTGTTGATTGTGACCAGTGTCTCTACAGCGTGAGGTAGAGCGCTGGAGACCCTCGGGAGAGGTGACGGGGGTCTTTCACAGACGACTAGGGCCTTGACCCAAACAACCACCCAGCAGCCAGGAGTCTGCCTCTATCCAATTATGTTAGTCGCTCATTTTCGGCAAATGTTGCAAGTTAACCAATGTCACCGCTTGAATTCAATGAATCAAATAGTGACACTGTCGACGCCTGAAAACAAAAACGAGTGGTTCACAGGATTCTATCCAGGCTATCAAATAGTCTCTCTCTTTGGCTTTTCTCGCTCACGCACCCAATGCGTTTGAATCTTTTTCAAAGTGAGAGATGCATTGACTCAACGCGCTTGCATTTGACGCCATCTCCCTAGGTCTCCGTTTAGCTCTCGGGACTTTTTGTTATCTCTGTGAATAGGTTACCAACAATGCACTGCAATGACTGTGCTTTCTCTCCCCTGTAAAGAGTACTTTGTTTGAGACAAAACCACTTTGACACAATAAAATTCAAAAAAATAAAAAGCACCTCAAAAAGAAACCGGTTCTCAAGCCCGATGACGGAGCTGCAACCCGCAGGGCGGCCACTTTGATTGACTGGCTCTGCGGTGACAAGGTTTCTGCAGAAGGACACATCTCTCTCTCTGCTCGAAGATGACAGCACCATGCAGAGGAAAGAGTGGGTCCTTCACAGTAAATCAAGTGTAATAGGAGAGCACCAGAGTGTGTGTTTAGTAGTAGCACCAAAAGCACTGCTGTCCCAACAACATCTCCTTCTGCTCAAACCCAGGACGGGATACCCAACAGCATCCATTCACATCTGTGCCACTAGATCAACTTTACCATGGTCAGCAACAGGGTGTGAGATCCCCCTCTACTGGCCATGGGTGGTTAAAGTAGCAAGGCTATAGGTTTCTGAGTGGATCTCACGTGCTAGGAGGTTTGTTTGTACACACCACTTTGAACCGGGAGTCACTGCTGCCCTCTAGAGTTTACACTGGGAGGTGCTCCCGCATACTTGAACATTATAGGAAGATAAAGTGTGCCACCTGTTCCGTCTCTATGTGGTAATTGTCGATCTGGGTCAAACGGCATTTGCAAATAGAATCACTTATTTTGGCCTCTGTGGAGTACCAGATATGTGCAGTTACGGGAGCACATGACGAGCAAAGGATGTCGATGCACCGATGTCTTGAAGCAATGAATCTCATCATTCTGCCACTCCACCTTGGTCAAAACAAATTCAATTGCTAATACTAGTTGAGCCAGGTTAGCGAGCACCTAAGTACAGCATCAACTGCCATGAAGGGTAGCGGGATTAAAAAAAATCAATCAGAGCTGAAAGTTGAGCACCAGTCTGAACTTGGAGGGGTACAGAAGAGGAGGAGGAGCACGTCATCTGACGACAAAGAAGCAGCAACCTTTTTTTTCCAAATGTGGTTTAAGGGGCAACTGCAATTATTTTCAACCTGGGCATTATTTTCCTACAATGCTTGGTTTGAATTTAGTTTTTGTCTTTAAGGAGCTCTCCTGTCCTGAGATCAGAGATGCATATCAATACATTTTCAAAATAGAGATAGATATCGAAGACAAGCCTACTGAAAAGGCTTCTTTTTTTTTTTTTTAGATACGTACATATGATTACTGTAATAGTGAGTTGCTGTCTCACTGGGCAGATAATGGCTCCTCCTCTAACTACAGCTGGAAGATTGACAAGAACAAAGAAAATCAAAAACAGAAAAAAGGGAACACGTTTTCCAAACATGGAAAAGCGATTGCCTGAGTCTGACTGACTCTGACTGATTGATTTAAAAAAATATATAACCAAAAACAATCACATCATTAATAATAACATTAATGAAAACAGCAATAATAAAAAACAAACAAGTCTTCATTATAATAATACCTGTAATAACAACATTGACAGTAACAATAGCAATCATAATAATATCGATAATAATAGCAATAATTAGAATCATTAAAATTCTATGAACAAGAAAAAGCAATGGAGATCCCCTCCAAGGAAGAGAGAGGAAGAGCACCACAGGCAGTATGTCTGAAGCCCAAACAACTGCCTGACATGAGGTAAAAAACAATAAAAACGTCCCCTCCGTCAAGTGGACTGCGGAGGTGGCAGGATGGAGAGATGCCAGACTGTGGGACGGCTGAGAGACATTCATCCTGCTCACTGCTCTCTCCAGCCCTCCACTGCACCACTCTGTAGCTATCAGTTTGTATCTGTCTGACCTCAGACAAAGTGGCTGTAGGGCCCAGTGAGGCGGGTGAAGGCATAGGGAGACACAGTAACCGTAGAGGAGGTGTGGAACGTCGGGGCTAACCGCGTCACTGGCCCCTCCCTCTTGTCTTTAGATTGTCCAGGTCCTGGACTGGCACCTGCCACCGTAGCCCACTTGCGTTTCTTCCCGAGGGCCTTGATGTCTTCCTGGGAGAGGCCAAGGAGAGCCGCTTCCTGCTGCCTCTGCAGCGCTCGCTCCGCCAGCAGCTTCATTTTGGCTTCCCAAATAGCTAGGCCGTGCACGGGCTGGTTGAGGTTCTTGTGCTGGTAGAAGACCAGGGAGATGCGGGTGGGGTGGGCGCGATCAGGCTTTTTGAGCGGAGTGGTTGCATGTAGTTCCCGACGGGCACATTCAATCAGGATGGAGCCATGGGCTGGTGCTACAGCTACACCACCAATGTTGGGATCCAGGAAGTTGTGCTCGCTGTCAGACCACTCCTCTTCGTCGTACTCCTCACGGCCCTTGGTGCTCTCAGCGTCGCTCTCAGCTCGGCTGGGAGTCCAGCAGCCTTGATCTGACTGCCGCAGGGCATCAGGGAAGAGACGACCCTCCGGGGTAGGGGACTGGGAAACGCCTGCCATTGAACCTCCACAAGACTTCCAGGCCTTCTCTTGGAGCCCAAGGGGAGTGGAACACCGACTTTCCCCAGTCTTGGACCAGATCTTGTCAGGATAGGCTCCTGCAGGATTGCTGTGCTTCAAACCGGGGCTATATGCCACAGGCCCCATGGCCCAAGCATTCGGCTGAGGACTAGGAGCAGGGCTGGCCCAGTGCCTGGGGGTGCCTGGGCCTGGGGTGCCTGGCTGTGGTGTAACTGAGCGTGAGTGAGAGCTGCCAGGCTGTGGTGTACCTGTCTGAGGGGTGCTTGGGCGCATGTTACCCGGGAACGCTGTCCCTAGGTGAGGTGATGGAGATGGAGAGTGAGGTACATGGAGTGATGGCGATAGAGCAGGGGAAGCATTTGAGCCAGAGTAGGATGTCCACTGCTGGAGGAAAGGAGAGGGCTGCCGCTGCTGGGGATGCTGGTGAAACTGCTGCTTGTCGGGGATCAACAATGAGGCTTCAGGACTGAGTTTAGCGTTCAGATGGCCTTCCCAGTTGGTGGGAACGATACTTCCATTAAACTTGTGCCCATGCCAGGCTGCAGGCTGGGGGCTGTTGCTAGGTGTGTTGGCACCGGCCTGGCTCTGCTTTGTGCCTTCATAGACTGGCACATCCATAGGCTCCTGTTTGATGACTGGAGTGCCTCTGTTGGAGGATTCAGAGCATACAGAGGATGGACGGGACTGGTTGTGGTCTGCATGCTGGACATAAGCGCTGAGGTTTGGTTGGTTGGCTTGCTCTGGGTGGCTGTGGAAGGACTGGGCCAGTCTGGCCTGAAGGCTCTGAATATCAGGCTTCACGTCAACCTGGACAGCCTTGCCGCCTGCTTTGGGCAAAGAGCCATTTCGACCCTCGTAGGTCCTCAGTTTAGGGGGGAAAAGTGCATTGGGGGAGTAGTTGTAGTAGCCATAGTGCATTTGGGGCAGATTGTGGTGGTAACCATTTACTGGGTCTGATGCAGAGGGCTGGCCAGTTGGGGGAAGGCCTCCCCTTGCATAGTAGGCAGGGTGTGGATAGATGTTGAATGGGTCTGCTGCCGGCACAGGGTATCCATCTATTGATCCATTGAAGGGCTCCTTCTTGATGTTGGGCTTCACCTCTTGTTTTATAATTGCTGAATGTTTGAAACAAAAGAAAGGTAAATTACAAACTAAACTTAAAACTCATTGACGTTTATAATTGATTATGTCTTCTGTTGGAGTTCTGTTGCACATTGATTGCAGGTTAGGGTTATGGTACATGCCTTTTCGGCTATCGGACAAGACCTCCAAGTGAAGCAATTTAAAATAATTTGCCTTACAGTCAGGACATCTGTGGAACATATTCAAAGTACATTATGGGTGATACAAAAAACAAACAGCTAACCTTTATTGCCTTGGGGTTGAGGGGAACCTGTGATGCAGACCTCAGCCTTGACCACTGTTTTCTCTGGTGTCTCTCCTGCCTGCTGCATGAGTTTATTTTTCTTCTTCTCCGAGTTGGCCTTCTTGGCCTCCAGTCTGCGCTGACGGCAGGACTTGGCAGGTTCGGGCAACTTGCGTACCTCGCGGCGAAAAGCCTGAAGCACATGGATGGCTTTTGTCTGCATCTTGAGACGCTGGGCCTCCTCACTGCCAAACTCATCGGTCGGGGAGATCCTATAAAGAGGCAACACATGGAGCTGCTCATCCTCTGGAATCTCCTTCATATTACGGTTGTTCTCCTTAGTCAAAGTACATACCTAACAGAGAGAGAGAGAGAGAGAGAGAGAGAGAGAGAGAGAGAGAGAAGGAGAGCAAGATGAAATGTAAACTGTTCCAAGCTGCAAAACATCAACATTGTATATTTAATTTATTCACATAAAAGAACAATATATCCTTTATTCACTCCAAATACGCCACAATGCACACACATATAAGAATATGGTGAGGGATCTTACCACTGTGCAACCATTGTAGAGGTTGTGCTGGTCCTTGTGAGCGTGGGCACAGAAGTCCATGCAAGCAGTGACTCCAGAGAACGGCCGGCCTTCCTTCAAGCCCAGCCTGCAGTCTGGAGCTTTCGACTCTAACTGGCACTGAGGAAGAGGAAAGAAATCACTTTAATATCCTTACATTTCACTTGACAGGTATGATTTTCCATATTGTCAAAACAACTTAGTCAGAGTTTAGTCAGTAGATTATTTTCTGTTTCTCAGTCTTTGCGCATAGAAGCGGGAAGTGTTATTATGTGAAAGTCTTCATGGTCTCGTGTATAGTAGTCATTGTGTTTGACGAAGACGTCGAGTGTAGTTGGTGGCGGCATGAGGTTGACTGTGATGGGTATTTGCTAGGGCCGTAACAGTTTGTGCGTTTGCACCGAACAGTCACGGTATAGGGGGCCACGGTCTGGTGCACACAGCCTCACGCAGAACACGTGGTATGTAGATTGTTGCAAATAATCTGGAACCAAAGTTGTGAAAAATCATGACTTTTGTGTGCCGTTACACTTCTAGTATTTTCCTTTGCAACAAACCTGGTTACTGTAGGCCTGTGGCGCCAGCTGCTTGTACAAAGGAGCCAACTCAGTTGCCAGATGTTGGAGGTTATCCCTGAGTTTGTCCTCCTGACGAGCACAAACATAGATCTTAGGTCAAAACAAAACACAGAGCCAAAGAGCCATAAAATGGAAGAGCAAGATTATTAAAAATGATTATCGTTGATGTATTCCTGTACAATGCATACAACAAGTGGCTTTGATGTGATGAGTACCTCTTCAGGGTGATCTCCTTGTAGCCTGAACTTGCGTGGTATTTTGCTTCGGGCGTACTTACAGCCATTAAAGTACATACTCCAGGAGCAGCCAAAGGAGAAGGAAGCACCGCAAGACTCACTGTCCTTGCCTTGACACGCACAGGTACGACTGCAGGGGGAGACAGTGAGCATGTTCTCAGCTTCAGGTATAAATGATGTGTGACCCGAGCATGCTTTACATCATGAGTACACTATATTTCTACTGGGCTGAGTGAGATACAACAATGTGGCAGAGAGAAATGTCTATGAGGGAATTTGTGCAGTATTTCGTTTGGAGCATTAACATGGTCTGATGTATATGTAGCACAGAGAGAAAATGTGCCCTCCTCATGTGCCCTTAATAGGCTTAAATAGTTTATAGTATATAACTAGTGTAAACAAGGGTGTGTCAACTACATTCATGGCTCATTCTGAGACATATGAGCACCTTTCTTTAAAGGTATTGGATGTGCAAGATCACTATCCATTGTTTGGGAGTCGGATGTATGACATAGACAACGTGTACACAGCAACGTTTGTTTTTGTGCATATGTGCATTATTTGGCTTAAATTTAGCTTTATGCCTCTAGAGTACTTTTCCATGTCACAGATGTCCATATGGCCACATTTGGACCCCCACATGATAAGGTTTTGTCCATGAAACCACCAACATTTTTAGCATACTTTCCTTGGTGTCATAGGTTTTCCTGAAAGCTCTGATAAAGATAACTTGAGATCAAATAGCTCAAGGTGTGCTTCAAAAAGAAGTTGCAGTGAGGGTGCAATATAATGATGAAATACTCATGACCTGCATCTATGCACATTCACCAACTTGTATGTAAGAAAACCAGTGTGAAAGAGTTCCCATCAGCTACTCACTCATCATTGAGGCCACAGCGTCGGCTGGTGGCGTTGCCATGTTTGGTGAGGGTGCCACTGAGCTCGTGGTACAGCTTGTCAGCCAGGGCCCTCGGGACACCTTCCCAGGCCATAATGAGGATGATGAGGACAGCGTTGTCACAGTGGTGGCCTGCACGCGGACGCACCAGACACAGCAGCTTCTCTGTCTCGCTGCCACGACGGATCACCTGACAGGAAACAGAGCTCATCATTATTTGGGTTTTTCTTTATCCAGGGGAGTTCAGCTAGGTGGACACCCTGGCTCTTAATCAGCAGCATCTTAATTTATGCTCACTAAGTACTACTCCCTCATTTTAATCTGTACTGTACCTTGATTTTTTATACCTGTACTGAAATCTGACCTGTGGTGACTGGATACCAATCCTAAATCTGCTGATGATGCTTTATGTTTAATACATTTAGCCAGAGAGAATCATACCATAAAGATATACTAGTGGACCAAGAATATAAATATCCAACATTTTGCTTCTCATAACCTTAATATCTGATTCCCACAACAGTTACTTTCTTCCAGAAACTCCACACTCTCCGTCTGTCTCCAACACACACCCACACTCCCCCTCCCTCAGTAGGATAGCTGTTTTGAATCCAAAGTCATCAGCAGGATGTGTCAGGGGTGACACAGGAGGGGAGGCTATAGACAGTTGTTACAGAGAGTGAGACCTCCTACTTGTTTACTCACATTAGGTGACAAACTTGGCTGGATGTCTCCCCAGGACCTCTCATTATACACACACACACACACACATACTGCATACATCTGTTGTTGATTGTCAGGTGGGACAACAGTACAAAATAATACTTTTCCTCCCTCTCACTTAAAAACAATCAGGCTTTGACTGAGTTGTTAACATACTGTCACAAATGTTATTTTTGAGAGTCGTGGGTCGTTATTCTACTACGTAAACTCAATAAAAGAAAAAAGAGGAGACCTTGACAGTACCAAGTCTCACCTACGTTATTAAAAGGCTCTTTCAGAACTTCAAACCGATGGCAGATGTAATGTGACGTGATGCTACTTACCCACTTAGCAATAGGACATCCTCGTGAGCTCTTTCCCTCTCTCCCTGTGTACACCACCTTCTCAATCCGGATGGCCTCCCCCTTCTCTCCATACCTGCACAGGAGGAGAAACACTTTAGTTCTCAGCCCTGATGCTTGACTTTAAGGCTCTGACATGCCAAGGTGTCAGGTGGCCTAAATCTGAACACACGGTGTTGTCTTTCCTGTGTGTCGGGGCCCTAAGGGGCCACCAAGCCGACCTCAAAGAATTTGCAAACTGACTGATCAGACGCTTTGCATCACTTCTAGTGGTCTCATAAAAGTTGCAGTCAAGCACACAACAAACCATTCACCTGACAGCCAGTTGGCCAGCAGTATGGATGTGTGCTCTTTAAAACACATGCTAAATTAGCCTACAATGTCATGCTGTGAATCTGTTTAAACAGTCTGCTCAACTTTAAAAACATTAAAAGTTTGGAATTATTGTTGTCTTGCCACCTGTTATTTTTGCCTGTGTTTTCACTGAGTGTGTGATATTTGGAAGTCTGTGGGAGAAGTAGTGGATGTCAATTCTGACAAAGACGGGCCAGCCTCGGCAGCACTGGCTGGTGAGGAGTGTTCACAAGGCTCTGCTTAGATTCTCACATGAGCGGCAGAGTAAACCAGAACCCACTAGCCTCGGCACAACGCCAGCCAGAGGGCCTTCTCTCGGAGATATTTCTGTGCCTGTGTTTGCTGTGTTGGGCAATAGCGGTGCTACAAGTAACGGCGTAACTGGTTCAATTAGATTTCTCAGTAGCGTGGTGGTTGCTGTTTTCTGAATAAGATAGCTTCTCAGTAGCTTAGCTTTTATTGACTAAGTAGTACAGCAGCTTCCACACAAGTATTTCTGAAGCTCGAGCGCCCATGGATGTTCGAAGTGTGCATTGATAGTCAAATATACAATATAAATAATCATTTATATTACATTATTAATTACATTATTAACATATTATATACTTTGTATTAGGCATATATATTTATATTACTTATATATTACATTAATACCATTGACTTGGAATGAAGTAGGTTCAATTAAAAAAAGATTGCTTTGATGTTGTTAAACTACTTTATCAATGCTGCTGTAGCTTATATTGCTTTTTCTGGGGAGTAGCTTCAGTGTAGTGGAGCTTCATTTAGTGTAGAGTAACTGGTAGCTCAGCTCACTACACTTTTCAAGTATCTTGCCCAACACTGTGTGTTTGTGTCCACATGTGCGTGCATGAGCTTATTTTGTGTATACAAAGAAATCTACTTGTGTGTATGTGTCTGTGAACCCTTGCTTGAGCAAATAATGGAGTGTTATGAGATTACTTAACAGCAGTCCGAATGCTGCGTGTGGGTGTTTTCGTGTCTGTTGGTAGAGTGAGGGGGTGTGGAGGAGGAAGAGATGTCAGAGGTTACGTTGGGATGGGGATAGGTCATCAGAACTTGTCAGAGATTTGCTCATGGCTTAAATCAGATCTGCTGCTTGCTCGATATCTGCCATTGTGCAAACTTCAGCTCTGAGTAGATTTGGTGTGACAGTGAACACAAGGGGCTCTGACTGAATAGGAATCCCCCGACGGTGGCTCAGAGAGTGGGAGGGGAATAGGCTCTGTCACCACGGGGGTGGCCCGCTGGGGTCAGGGGTGAGACAAAGGTCATTTAGGGACATTGGGGCCTTAACTTCTTATGTCATCTCTCAAACAAAAAAAGTGGCATCCCCCCCCACACACAGTCATCCTGTGCTCTTCTGGGACTAATGACTCATTGCTCTTATTGAAATCCAGCCTTTCAGTGCAAAATGTGTGCCTGACTACAATATTCAGAACTGTTAACATGAAGCACAACACAATGAGGCATCCGGTTATAACAAGAGGTTGCACCAAGTACAAGGTGTTTTTGCACTCTTGGGTTACAAATAACATAACAAGATATTGTCAGAATGTGTTAATCAGGCTATGAAAAATATAACAACTCTTTATTCATCCTTAAAAACAGTTGATCACCGCCTTTAATCAGAGCTATGTTTTAGTAAGATAGACCATTGATGATGATTTAAAGATTGTTGCTGCGATTTGGTTATTAAAATGACCGGCTTGGGAGCTTTTTGGTGTTCCTTGAATAAATACTAATCCTATAAACTCAGTCTGTCTTTTTAACACCAAGTCTGCTGATGCATAGCAGACAAGGTAACAACAGCCTTTGGGATTGGTTTGGTGAGGCTGCACATTTATTTTTACCTTCAACTCTTATTGTGAGATTATTTGTTTGGTTTAATGTTTTAAACAGAGCAATTTCAGCTTTGTATGTATCTACATTTGCATCTATAAACACCAAATGTCAGCCCTGAAGACTGTTACATAATATAAAAAAAACTACACTTGATATTAGTGCACAAAAAATGCAGCATCTTTCCTCCCTTCCGCCTGTCTTCATCTTTCTCTGTCTCTCCCCCTCATTCATCCCATTCCCAGCTATCATCTGCTGCTACCCTTGTGCTTCTGCCTCTGTTATGCTGATGATGCTGATATTTCCTGTTTCTCCAACTGGATTCTGGGTCACAGATTCCCTCAGGACAAAATGAGAGGAGGAGGGAGGGAGGAGAGAGGAGGAGGAGGAGGAGGGAGCGACAGGGAAAGCAAGAGCATGTAGGAGGAAGAGAAAAAGAGAAGAGAAGAGGAAAAGACTCACCTCGTCTCCATCAGGTCTCGTATGGAGGCGACAGTAGGTCCAGATCCCAGGTGATTGTAGTAGGGTCCTTCATCTTTCTCCAGGATTTGTTCTAGCAAAAGAGACAGTAGAGGGTGAGGAAAGAGCACATAGCTGGAACCTGAAAAAGCACTATGTCAAATAATGTGTATTACATCTGTGGGCAACTGTGGCTAAGTGGATAGCAGGGCCGTCCTTCAATCAGAGGATCTGCGGTTCGATCCCCGGCTCCGCTAGTCACACGTCGATGTGTCCTTGAGCAAGACACTTAACCCCAAAATTGCTTGCCCACGGTGTAGAAATGTGATAGAATCTGAATTGTAAGTCGCTTTGGATAAAAGCATCTGCTAAATGACTGTAATGTAATATTAATACCACTCTGTGATGAACACTTGCTCGAACAAATCCTGGAGAAAGATGAAAGACCCTACTACAATCACCTGGGATCTGGACCTACTGTCGCCTCCATACGAGACCTGATGGAGACGAGGTGTGTTCTCTTTTTCTCTTCCTCCTACATGCTCTTGCTTTCCCTGTCGCTCCCTCCTCCACCTCCTCTCTCCTCCCTCCCTACAGCTATTATTTAGCCTGCTCTAATTATGAGATTGTAAAAGAAGTAATACTACATTTAGGTTTCATTTTTAACTTCCTTATCTTACAGAGAGGAAGTGAAGCAAAGTTTGACTCACTTTACCAGCATTATATTTGCAGGAGCTATGATCATGTACTGTTTTGGTGGATATTTCTCCTAAAATCTCTTCTCAATTTGCGGAGCATCAACACCAAAGAGGTTTTTTAAACCTATGATTCTGCATTAAATATATTATTCTACTATACATGTATGTCATATTTGCGTCAATATTATCAGCAATGTCACCAAAATCTTCTGCAGTCATATAACTTAGGCTTTATAAATGTTCTTGCACATCACTTTGATCAAATAAATAATTTCTCTGCCTCAAATCCCAAAGTACTAGTGCCTGGATAGAGTCCTGCTTGAAGTAAATATATTAACAGTAAAAGCCCCGTGACTTCAGTAAAGAATGAAGTGTCTTTGCTAGAAATCACATCTCAGTTGTTGTAGAGTTTTGTAAAATAAATCAAAGGCGTGTGTGTGTTCGGAAGTATTTTTGGACAAACTCAAAGGCATCCTCTTTGTGGTTGAAGCTAAATCATCTATGAGTGTGAGATTGTACAACTGATCGCAACAGCCAGTTCCCACAAACACACATGAACACACAGACAGAGGACTGTGACTGCAGGGTGTGGTGCCTGTGTGGAGACACTGTAAAGCAGAAGCTCTTTGAGGTAGTGATGAATGACTCTGTTTGTGTGAGTGTTATGAGGGAGTAGGGTGTGTCTGTGTGAGCGCTGTGTGAGCATCTTTGTTTATGTTGTGTATGAGCGTGTGAATGTGTATTTGACCATTGTCCTACACACATCTTTGGTTATAAACCATGTCCTATGACTTCAGTACTAATCTTTGTGTGGTGATACTGTGCCTTCTGTACACAACACTTCTTTAGCACGGTGTTGCACACACTCTGGATAACAACATTAGCTAAAGGCTCTAAATGTAAATGCTTTACACTCTCAGCTGATTATCTTAAGCGTGGACATACAGTACAGTCAGGGTTGTGTGTGTCTCTGGTTCAGAGGCAATATGAGGTCACATTCCCCTGTCGGTGGAGGGAGGCACCAGGGCGTGGCTCAGGGCAGGAAGTGGAGGAGTCACAATAAATTCTTGCATGGAAATTGGTTGTGTGTGTGTACTGTGCAGACCGTGGCTGCATACTGTATCTGTTTGTGTAGGAGGCAGTCTCATTCCAGCGCAGTGTTATGCTACAGGGAGTTGACAGGGCAGTGTGTAACCAGGCTGTACTATGGAGACTTATTGTCTGCTGGTCTCTACTCTGAGTAACAACACACAGCTAGCAAGTGTTTCACTGCAGCTGCTCTCCGCCTGCTGTGAACCCCTTCAATGACAGCAGTGGTCTACTTACCAGCTCTAAACCCTTCATAGCACTACAGTTAAAACTCAGTAACTGTAAGAACATGGTGGTCATTTTTTAACACAGTAGCTTCTCTGAGAACAAACTCTATAATTATTGCACAAAGTTAATGAATGAATGGACACCCACAGTAGCTACAGCAGTAGTATTCTGATCTACTTAGTCATTAACATAACTTTATCTACCTGTTATTTTCTTAAAATAGGAAAAAAACGATCTATAAATTCTTCATAGATTCATACTGTAGGACCACCTACTCTGTTAACCTGAGCAGGGAACTACTTAAACTGTGGGACTAAACCCCTTTCCATCTAATGAAGGCTCTGTTCTGCTTGCCTGCCAGACCCAAACTCACACAAAAGGCTCCTTCTGCCACCAGTACTATTGTTCCTGCCTGCTGCCTTTAGTGCCTCACACTGTTGCAGTCTGGATGGTCGCAGCCACACACCGTGGCAACACAAACATTCTTGGATACACAAGAATCCAACAAGCGTCCAGACAGAGAAGCTACAGAAGAGGGGGGACTGAAAAACCTAATGGTGGACATGTTTCGAGCCAAATCAGTAGAGCAAAACGTGAACATTTCTAGATTTAGAAAATGTTTTCCAAAAAAAGCCCTCCTTGCAGAATATGCATGCTCAGCTGCTGCTATAAAGCCTCTACAGTACTTACAGAATTACTTCCGATTCATCTGCACTCAAAAATGCATGGGTACTGTCTGGAGTGGTATGATTTTTGTAAGATTAATGATACTATTATTTATGGTTGATGAAATGTGCCAGCACAGTATGTTGACGGACAGCAACCTCATCCCCTTAGATATAGACAACCAAAGACAGACACCAACACACTGACTTACCCACACAGGTGCAGGTGGGGAACTCTGCCTGCAGATCCTTGGAAGGAGTACTCAGCAAGGTCTTGGTGGGGGTGTCCAGGTAGCGCAGAGGAGACTCTAGGAAGCCTCTGAGAGATGGAGAAGCAGGCAGGCTGTCCTTAGTGGGTGTGTCCTCAGAATAGCATGTGGTGGAAAGTACTGTTATATCACCCGAGGCTTCAATCTTCATGCGTTTGGGTAGCGAAGAACACGGCATGTTGAAAGTATCCTCTATCACACTGGGCTGCTGCTGCTTGTGCAGAATGGCCTGATAATGTAGAGAGACATCCCTCATAGAGCTTTCTGTGGATGCCTGGTTCAAGGTTGCTTCACTTTGGGGCCCTGATTCATCTTTGCTGACTTTCATCTCCTGATCATCTGGATGAGGTGTGGAACTGGCTTGAGTGGAGAGAATTATGGGAGTCGACCGGGAGGTGGAAGATGATGTGGGACTGAGGTCCTGAGGACTGGTCTGGGACTGATTCCTCGGTTGAGGGGCTGTAGCAGTCTCCTCCTTGGGCTGACTGTCAGATGCATCTGGAGCTGAGTCCCCAAATTCAGCCTCAAACTGGCGGATCAGTTCTTCGTACTTCGGGTCTATGTTGATGACGCTCTGTAATTGTGAGGTGCTGGATGGAAATGTGGAGGTCACAGGTGTGGTGGTGCTGGTGTTTCTGGAGGCCAGGCTGCCCACTCCCTCTGATTTAGCATGGGCTACAGGGGCCACAGGTGGGAGCAGAGGGCCCATGAGGGCTGGAGTGTTTTCTGACAAAGCAGAAACAGTGGAAGATGGGGTCATTGAGGAGTTGGAAATGTATACCTGAGATTGGGCTGGGGCAGGGAGGCCTGCAGCAGCAGCCTGAGTGGAATTACTGTGGAGGGGCAGAGAGGGGAGAAAACCTGGTTGCAGGCTGGTCAGGGTCGGGGCTCTGTCCACCATGAGGACTGATGGTTTTTGTACGGATATCTGAGTCTGAGGCAGGAAGGTTGGGATGGAGGCTTTCTGCTTGGTCTTCTTGATGATTATCTGTTTAGGTTTGGGAAGGGGAGAGACTGCAAGCATCCCACTCATAGCTTTTATGACAGGAGATCCTTGACTGCTTTTCCTCTTCTTGGGTTCCTGTTTGATGGCCGGATGTGGCAAACCTTCTGCGTTCATCTGTGGCCACCATTTTTTCAAGTTTTGACAAGCCAGAGGTGCCCGGGGGCCTGGTGCTCCAAAGCCAGGGGAGTGGTTAGAGAAGAGGTTCCTCTTGTAGTGAAGGTGCTGTTGCAGTGCTGCCTGAGTGGAGTGGCTGATAGCTGCTTGGCCAGGAGACAGGGGGTTGCCAGGGTAGTGATGACCCTGCTGCTGACCATTAGCCATGCCGTAAGGTCCCATGGAGGCAGTGTGATGGTAGTGCTCTCCAGAGTCTGGTTCTAGCTTTATCCTGGCCAATGCTGGGTTGTCCTGGGCCTGGATACCTCCATTCTGGTTCAAAACAATCTGCTGTGTGACTGGAAGCTTGAAATGAGCATTGCTGAACTTTCCACTGGTGTCACCAAGCAGCTGTTTGAGCTCTGACATGGGGTCTGAGCTGCTGTGAGGTGCAGCAGCGTAGTGAGACTGGGGCTCAGACTTTACACACATCCATGGGTTCCTCTGTTCAGAGCCTCTGTCCGAGCCCTGCTGCCACTGCTGGAGATTAGGGCTGAAGCCTGGATGTTTTCCCTGACCTGGGAAGGGAGAGGTAGTGGGTGGGAGAGGGGTAGCATGGGGCGGCTGGCCCTGGGATTGGGGCCTGTGGTGCTCACAGGAAACTGAGGCCTGCTGAATGGTGTTTAGTCCTGGAGGGACGGATTGAGAGCGTGAGGAAGATGAGTGGGTGCCGGGAGAGGAATGGATCAAGCTAGTGCCGTTGGGGGGTTGAGATGGGAGGTTCTGGGTATGTTGGTGGTGATGGAGGTTACTGTTGTAGGAAAGTTGACCTGGAAAGCCGGCAGATTGCGGACCAGTACCAGATAACTGGGTCAGGGCTTCTATGGCAATGGCTGCCTTAAGACTGATGTTCTTTTCCTTGGCTATGAAGAGCACCTGGGGAGAGCAGGGAATTGGGGGTTTTGAGCAGGGCCCATGGGCTAGATTAGGGCCTTGACTTCCCTGTTGCTGCTGGGGGTATGAAGCAGACAGGCGGTGGCCACCATTCATCTGGGTGTAGGGCTGATGGGGATGCTGCAAATGGGTTTGCTGTAGGTGAGGCTGTAAGTGTGGAGGAGTATCAGCCATCTTGCAAGCACCTTGATCCTCATTGGTTGCCACCTTGATCTTCTTCTCCAGCCACTCAAGGTAGTCTGGACAGTCGGGCCCATCGCAGTTGCAGTTGGGTGGCTTGTGTCCATGTTTAGCTTGGCTCAGTGCTGACTGTAGAGTGTTCAAGTCTTCTGGAGTTTGGCAGCTTCCCTCAGGAGCTCCTGCAGAGAGTTTGGCCTGTGCCCCCTCAACACCCATCTCCTTGGTGAACTTCTCATACAGCTGGGATGTGTTCGGCTGCATGAGGCAGGAAGAGGAGGAAGAAGGAGGCAAGGAGCCAGCAATAGCAGAAAAAGCCACCAGATTGTGGGCATCCTCCATGTCTGCATGGTGGACAGGTTCACCAGGGGTTGTACGGCTGCTGCTGTTCCAACATGGTTGCTGTTGTTGGGTGTCACTGACCTTGCCGTGTACTGACAACCAGGTCTGCCTTGGAGGCACGCTTCCTGCTCTCTGCTGCTCTGTTTCACTAGATGTCGAATCATCATTAGGGTAGCGATTCACTCCATTGGCTAGTTCCAGGCTCAGCGCTCCTTCCTGGAGGCGGTCATGTGACCCAATTTCCATCTGGCCTCCACTTCTGGGGCCATCTACTGAAGTGACTTCGCAAACAGTCTGAAAGACAAACATGGAGCGAGGTTAGTTAGATTATGAGAATCTAATAAATCTTGCACCAATATGTAAAACAACATTATACACTGTGCAATAGGCATGATTTTGAAAATAATCACCAGATATGTGTTAAATAATCGCAAATAAATGAAGTCAATTGTTTTTTAAAAATCTGAATTCCAAGAATAACTTGACAGAATGATAAATAGCAATCATCAAAACAGACTCCATTCCCTTCTGCCAGCTCTTATCCAGGGTTTCCCTCCTACCTCACACATACATTACTGCAGGGTCAGGCCAGTAGGGCTCAGGAAAACGGCATTAACTGTTGCTTCACTAGACTGTTTTCATAACAGGCAAGCGTTTTGTCAAGCAAGTCACAGGTCATGCAACATAGTTTCACTGTTGTTTATAAATGGAGATTGTGCCCCAGATCAGTTGGGCTATGCAAAGCAGGCAGTTGGAGTTAAACTTGTCTCCCTTGGTGTTGGGAAACCTTTTGTATGGCAGAGGTGGGGCATTAATAAATACACACTGAGGAGTGAAGAAAACGAAATACAATACACAAAATGTACGTGAGATCAAAGGAAGTCCACTTCCAAGAAGTGTTTATATTCATAATTTACTAAAATCTACAAACCTACTTCTTTAGTAGGAAAGAAGAATCAACAGAAAAAATAATTGTACATTTTACTCAGTTGATATTTTATTTCAAGAAACGCAATTAATAAATGAAACAAATGGAGATATTTTAGAAAAGAAAAACTGAATCTGTTTACGACATGCTTTTGATATAATGTGAATATCTTTCATCGGTAAAACCAGATATTGATTAAGTGCTGAAAAATGATTGCAGCTGAAAACGTGCAGTACTCTCATTCACTGGTGAGATTATCACAAACCCAAGACATTTTCAACCAAAACAATACCTTAAATGACCTGGATATCTGAAGACCTGTGTGTCATGCTAAGATAATTCATAATAGACAACATCTAAGACACAAAGCAAACGGAACATATACCGTACTGAACCAGTTTGTGAATGTCTGCAACAGTATGCATTGAAGTGTGGTTTTGTGGCTCTGCTCAAGTGGCTCCGTCAAACCAAATCTCAGCAAACCCCCACCATTGCCTTGAGATTCACAACATTTGACGAACATGAGCAAGTATTTAAAGAAACCCTCACACTTGACTTACAACTAAATGCTAATAAAGGAGTCTACCGGTGAAGGGAGTAAAACTGCTGAAAGACTTGGTGTATGCAGACAGATTTGCCCCGTTAGTTTTTTATATGTTTTTGATGGTGAAATAGGAGTTATTTTTGAGGAGTTTGGCCCATGAACTGTACTGTACAGAATTGTTGGCCTGAAAAACCCTTTTGTTTTTCAAATGATGCTTGCAAACGAATCTTTGTCTTTCCTATGACTCAATCATACAGCCAAATATAAGCAACAACTGACTCCTTCTGATATTACCACCTGCTCTATAGCTGGATCTAACTTAACTACTGTCATTGAATCCCAGCATACAGCGTAATGGGAAAAGTATTTCCTAAACAAGCTGGCTAAGAGTCACAAATAAGGGAGGGAATGTTTCTGTCATGCTTTTTGTCATTTCGGTAGATTTAAGGACCTTCTCAGACAGTTGGTAATACTTATCAGTAGCTGATACAGGCAGCCACATATCTCACTTCTTCTTTGAGTCAGAATTGGGTCAGTTACCACAAGTTACACTGAAAACTGCAAACACATCACCTGGACTTGTGTCAAATTACATTTTCAAAGCATTCAGTTTATTTTAGTCAACTTGAAGCACTGGGGGGTTGAGTTTCACCACAATGAGGTAAAAAAAGGTGTAGACAATGAAGAAGCAATTGCTCCATTTGTCTACTAATCTCAATTGTCTTGACATGTTGAAGCCAACTATGGTGGTCTTATTCACTTGAGTCCCAAGATGTTACTTGTTAACAGTATTCAGCCCAGATAGATTATAATCAAATGAGTCCAGAGAGGAACAGCAAACAAAGATTATCCAAGGGCAGCATCAGAAATCATTGACAGAGTTCATGTTGTGACTAAAGAGTGCATTCCAACATATCCAATAGAAGAAAACAATAGCAGACTCACTGTATAAATACATTTTTTTGGGGTTAGCCCCATAGCTAGAATGCAACGCACTGCATTAATAACCTTTCTAGCGTCAAAGTCTTCAATCCGTGTGTGTACTATGAACAGACAGCTTACCCAAAACATGCACCTGAATTGTACAGTAGCCTTAACTGTAAAGGACACTTACAGGCATCAGAATTGTAGTCGCAAGGAGACATTTTCCCCTCACAGGAGACAAAACAAAAACTGAGACGAAGACAGAGCGCTGGAGATATGAATAATTCCTTACACATGCACACAAACTGACCACAGGCTAGCTAAAGGTCTCACCACCCGACATAGATGTGAGCTACTTCCTGATTCAGACGTTTTAAAAAAGAAAGAACAGGGCTTCTGTTTGTAGATCTATCAGTGTTTGACAGTCGAAGTGAGCCTGACGTCCAGCTTCCCCGTCATTTGAATATTATTGAAATGAGCCTTTGAAATGACTAATTACTGGACAGGCAGTATGCTCGGGTCTTTTGAATCTACCTTCTGCGTCGGGTGTCTGTTGGAGGTCCCTGGGGGTGGCGGTGGTATTGGTAAGAGATGGTGTGGGGTTGGGGGGTGGCAGTGAACAGCCGGCATGCAATACGTGAGAGGCCCCACGTCTGCACTATCAGTGGCATCAGACGGGAAAGAGGAAGGGGGGGCACGCTAGTAATGCACGGCGGTTATGAGACCTGCAGGGTGTTGAAACAGAGTGACTGCAACACTGCACAATCTAACATCCCAATTACGTACAGCAGTCACACTGACACTCTCTTTTCCTCTTTTTCTCACAGTTACATACAGAACACTTTCAGTGACACAAGTCACGTGGGTTTAAAGCACCTCGAGCTGCACACTGAGAACAAACCTTCCACTTTGCCGGTGAAGAAAACAAATAACGCCAAAAATAAGAGATAACCTCACATGATCTGAGCTTTGGTTACCCTTGATTTACTTTTTTTGTGAGTCTACATGCCGGTCCAGGATGGAAATGCTGCGCTCACACCTGCAGCCCTTTACACCTGTGTGTGTGTGTGTGCGCCTCGGACTGTACGGACCACGTGTTTTGACAAATATTAACACTGTGACAAAGCCTAGACAAAGCCTAACCCTAACCCTCTAACCGTGTTGGTCTATTTCACACACATATTCATACGTGCTTGACACACACCAGAAAGTGCATCCAACAACATTAACACGGCCAACTAGATCAGGTATTGCAGAACCTGGTAAACCAGACCGTTGAGGCCAGGAGCCCTTTAAACAACATAAGCATTTACATTTCTGCGAAACACTGCAAAAAAAGGAAAAACTAAAGAGAGGAAACAAAGCCTGTATAGATACTAGTGGTGGAGAGGGGGTTAAGTTCAGCTTGTGAGTAGACAGCTGAACCTAAATCCCAGATACACAACCACCCCCCCCCATCCTCCTCCTCCTCCTCCCTCTTCCCCCACCCCTTCCTTTGCTGCCGTGCCGAGCAGGAACATGAAGCAGAAACCCTGACAATATGAAGCCGGCTGTGAGCCTGAGGACCAGCGATGTATGTACTTACGTGGTCTTAGACGTCCAGACAGAGCTGCCGGTCGGAGAGCAGAAAGCAGAAGAAGAGACAGAGAGGAGCATGAGACTTGCTTGCCGGCACAGCAGCCCAAAAGCAATCCGGACTTGTTGGGTTGTATTCCTTTTTATTCCTTCCAGTCTGTGCGGCGCACAGACAGAGCGAGCGGCGAAATACACATGCATGCATTCACACACGCACACACAGCCAGCAACACACAGACAACACACTTCCCCCCAGCACGGCACACACGGTTCTCATTTCTCTCTCGCCTCTTCTTATGGCTGATGCTTTCTGTTCTCTCCTTTTTCCTTTCTCATTATCTCCGTCTGCTCCTCCCTTCCCTTTTTCAATATCCTCTTTCTTTCTCTCGGCTACACATGCAGTCGGCTTCTCTTCGCAGCCCCCACCTTCCCCTCTCTCTCGCTCTCTCCCTCCCTTCATTCCCCCTCCCTCCCTCCCTCTCGCGCAGCCTCTCCCTCCATCTCCTCTCCTCTCTCTCTCTTCAGTGTGTGCAGAGCGAGAGGCCATTATCTGAGCCACAGCGGGCACGTACGATGGAATGGAGGAGTGTGCAGTGAGCAGAAACAGAGAGAGCTGTGGGGGATAGTCGCTGGTAGCGGCAGCCTAGGAAACAGCACAGTGCAGCAGAGCTCTCACCAATGAGAAAACCTCTCTGTCTCTATCCACGCCCTTCAGCACTGCTTGCTCTACTGCATTTGGTGATGATATATATATATATATATGGCTATGTTGTGTGTTTCTGTTTATCCACAAAAGCCTAGTGCTGGCAATTTCGGGCGATGACAGAGCTTCTCTGCTTTCAAGTGCAGAGGCGAATCAACGGCTACCGAGCGAATACACGATCTCAACTTACAACGGCGTCAACAGGAAAAAGAAAAGGAGCGAAGAAAAGCAACGTTATGTTTATGCTCGTTTATGCCTTCTGCAAACGGTATCTGGTTTTCCTTACAGGGATTTCCTCCGTGTTTGAGCATCTAGATTCGACTGAGCCCTGGGCCAAAGGAGAAGCCACCGATAATGGTTCTTCGATCTCCGTTTTTCTTCCCCATCCACAATCACATCGGTCGCCCGTTCCTCGCTTGAAACAAAAAGCTTCAATCTTACACCTGTGGCTGATAATAGATTCTCTAGCAAGGCTACGCACACAAGAAAGAGAAAAAGGTTGGTCGATTAAGAGGGAGCTGGCTTGCTGGCAGTTTCGCTGGCCCTTCCCTCCAAGGTCCAAAGGATACAGAGGTGGAAGGTTTTTTTCGACTGAAGGAAGCTGATGATCGCTTGATATACAATCGTTCCTCAACGCTCTGTAATGTCCGCTCCCTTGCCTACACGATGGGAAGAAAATAAATGCAAGAACGATGGCGATATGAACAAAGGTAGAAGAGCGAGGCGGCTACGCTGGGAAACGCGGGGGGAACAGCGGATGATACTTCAACATCAGCAAGAAAGAGTAGCAGAATGAGGAGAGGGGAACGGAAGAAGACACCGAGGAGAGACAACAAGGGGAGGACGTCTGAGGAGAAAACAGAGTCGCTCAGTTATTATGTGACGGATTCTGTAAAGGGAGCGAAGATGACGATGAAGAAGGAGAGGGCATAAACAGCGAGAGGATCGGCAGGTTGCTGCCAAACGAAGACAGCTACCCGAGTAATCAACCCATAGCAGTTCGCTGAGGACTTCTGTCCTCTCCTGTCTGCCAGATAACGTCCTCTTGTTATTCTCTCCTCACCGTTGTTCCGCCTTGGCATCATTATCATCATCAACGTCGCCATGATCGCTGGATGTTTCCTCTCGCCCACTTGCTGGCTGACCGGCCTTGTGGCGTCTCCTCTCTTCTCTCGAACATTGCTGGAGTTTTGGAGCAGATCTACCCAGGAGGAGCAGGAGGGGGTGGGGGGCTGTGGGGGGGGGGGGGGGGGGGGGGGGAGAAACATGGCCGTCTTCCCCATGCAGATCGTTGTCAGCTCCTGCGTGGTGTTTTTCCCTTATATTACTGAGCATGTGCCGGCTACACTGCGCTATGGTCGGATCAACTTCGGTAGCCTTCCCCCTGTTTCTTGTGATCTCTCATTTTCTCCCGTTTTCTCAAAGTGCCTCTGCCTCCCTCTCTCAATTTGCCTCACAGTTTTGTTTCCTGAGCCCTTTTTTTCTTCTCTTAGCATAGCTTAGCAGTGCATTACCGTTCCAACGCTTTCTGACGCACACCCTGCTCTCTGGCCCTGTAGATTGTACACGGTCTGTCTCTCTGTTACCACACATATTCGGCTATACACACACACACACACACACAGATGAGCGTCAATCCCAAAGAGAAACCCAGCGCAGCCTAAGCTGTCTAAGGGAAGGAGAGGAGAAGTAGAGCATTAGGTCACATGACCAAGGAGGGCCAATGAGCGAGAGGGAGAGCGATGAGCAAGAGAGGTAGGAAACACATGTGGCGATGACGTAGCAGCATCGTCATCGTCATCGTTATCATCGTCATCAGTGTTTCAGCCACCAGGACGCTTGCCTCCACCACTGGGTGGGCACATGTGTCATCACATGCCCACTCTCTACTATCACCAACAACACACACCAACGGACACTCGAACACACGCTCTTTCATTCAGCTGGCTCACTTGTGCTCGCTCACTCCCCCGGCTGCAATGACACAGCGTTTCAAGACTCAGGACTTAACCCATGAGTCACATATGCACGGTTCCTCATTTTAAAGAACCGCTGAACAAAAACAGAGCATTTCTGTCCTTACAAAAATGCATACCAGCTACGATAAATCATTTTTCAAAACGGTCGTTATGGTTCAAAGAGACCTCGGCAGACCGGCAGTCATCACAACCAAATCTAATATAAACTGTTCTGTAAATGAGTGACACCACATGGCTGTGACACTGTCACGAACATTAGGAAAGCTAAACAGAAAAAACAAGACCTAGAGAAGAGTGCCTAACTTCAACTAAATATATTAACTCGCACTGTAAAAACATGAGCTGAGTGAGATTGTCCCTATCAACGACGTACACACGCCGAGTAAAACGAAGAAGTATGATCTGACTGAACCATCAACATAGTAGGAACCTGCTCAACATGTGATGCAGGTGCTAAACAACACTCTGTAAATACACTATATATGCCACAATTTACTGCATGTAGGTTGATAAGAACTAGATTACAGGACAACATTCTGGATTCAAACACGTGCTCACTGATGACTCAAAGCCAGCAGCATAACGCGAGTGTCATTTCAGGTGAAACGTTGCCCAACATGTTTGGCAGTTGGACAGAAGAATTGAAGTTTACTGCATAATCTAGATAAGCAACAATGATGCTGTCCTGAACATAATGTGTTACTTCTCATTTAGATAACAGAACGTGCCGGATTACATTACAACTGGAAGGAACACATTCTGTAGCCATGTCCTTTTTTAAACTTCTGTTCTAGTCGACAGTGTTCACTTCACATAACACTAAGAGCTCAAGAGAAAACTACAATAACATTTGAAGTATCTCAACATTTCTTATTGAAAATGAAATGGAAAACATGAACAAGTATGTTGCACACTTACGGTAAACCTGCTGTAACCGGGCATTGAGAGCGAGAGCAGGAAAGTACAACAGAGACTCCGATCCTCACGATGGATCGCTTCATCTCACAATCAAGTCAAATTATTGTCCAAATGAGCTGTTTCACGCCCTCGTCTCTCTCTCTTTCTCTCTCTCCATCTCTCTCACTTCTTTGTCTCTCGCTCACTGTTTCTCAGCAGCACAGAGGAAAGGTCTTGGTTGTAGGAGGGATGACTGACAACAAAAGTCCATCCTCAGCAGTGTGTGTTGGGTTGGCTTGCATATGACTAAGTCTGAGTCATCCTTTTCTTTTTCTCCTGACATAAAACCCTCACACACCGAAAACAAGCTTTTTAAAACATTACCAGCACATCGGTAGTGGGAGGACTGTTTGTGTGAAACACACAGAAGACAATAGAGAACAACTTCTTCTGTTTCAAAGGTACCATGGCGGAATCATTTCTTAACGAAAATTGATGTGATTTCACTATTTATGCAACTTCATCGCCTCTCATCAGTGGGAGAATTTGGGTTATTTAAGTAAAAAACAAAAATGAGAGATGCTTATTCTAACAGCCATTAAACAACTCTCATGAGCATCACGTTCAGCTGACTCCACCTACTGCTCTCATCTACCTCCATACACCCCCACCCCCAACCCGTATTGCCCTGCAGTCCAATGGCATCAAGGTCATCTGATTTGACACACTTTATGACTCTCCCTCTTCTCCCCCGTCTCTGTCGCTTTATCCTTCATTTAACGCACAGAGGCCAAGACACTGGACAAATGCACACACAGGCAGCAAACGCAGAGGCAGTGATTTTCTCTGTGCACAGATGCATGCTAGTATGCATACAGTATTGGATTGTTCACTGAGTGTCGCTGCGTTTATTGGTGGGCAGGACACGAGTCTGCACTGAACGCTGCACTGAGCGCGTCATATTTAATGGAGCAGAAGCAACACAAAGTGTGTCAGCCTGGTCAAACATTAACGCTAATATCTTACTGGAAACTCGTATTATCATGATTTATTTATTATTATTAACGCCAAGTTTTGTATTTTTTTTATAAACAAGCCAGGCACAAAATGTGTTTTATTTTGAAAATCATTGACTTCATGAAAAGGATATAGATAGTAAAATATTTGACATATTTGTATCGGATAAAATAAAAGGGATTGCACATCCTCTCTAAGAACATGTATAAATATATATATCTATGAATGTACTGTATCTTTCCATCTGTCACTCTATCATGAGTAACAGACTGTTCACATACTGTTCATAATTTAGGCATCACCTTGTTATTTCAGTGTTGCAGCTCTCTGTTTGGCTGTTTCTCTCTCTTTGTCTTTGCTTTCATTGACATCTGCCCCCCCTCCATACCCTCCATCCCCTCCATCATCCAACCCCGACACGCTCCGTGGCAGGATGGTGTTAAGTTCAGGGTGTGTTTGGGTGTAGACCGTAGTGTTGAGTGTTGAGTATCCAATCTGAGTCATACCTCCTGACTTTCGGCACGTGCAAGTCGGCACGAATAGCCCAGCTGGAGAAGGCCTACCCCCCCCCCCCCCCCCCCCTTCAGCACTCCTCACAAAGAGAAAGGGAGGAGTGGTTTTGGAGGGAGGAGAGAGAAAAAAGAAAGGTGGTGATGGGTGGGGGGGGGCTGTTGTAGTGGGTGGAGCCTCTAAAAAAATAACGAGGAGGAGGAAAAGGAAGAGGAGGGGGCGCTGTTTTCAAGAGGCAGCTCTTTGTGCCTGAGGTTAGGGTGCATGAAAAGCAGGAGAAAAATATAATCAATATATAGAGTAAGGTTTTGGGGTCGGAGACAAAGAGAGTGGAGAACAGACAGACAGGGAATGGTGGGAAAACAAGTGAGTAAACAAAACAATAAAAGCACATTGTGTACTACTACCTGCCAGGCTAACATGTGCCAAGTCATGAAAAAGAGCTGAGCGCTCAAATCTTAACTGTACAGTGATGTAATCATTAACACAAAAAAGTTACTAATACTAGAACATTTCTGTCTTATGTGTTTCAGCCTCAATGATTACGTGATGACTTTTTGGAGACAATATTATGGGGTTTGAATCAGAAATTGCTCAGATTTGAGAGAGAAGGTAAGAGCAACCGTCCTCGGCTCTGCACAGTGGCTGGTTGCCAGCCTTGTCTCTCTCAGGACTTGGGCTAAGATTAGCTTCCCATATGTTCAAGTCAGGCGTAGCCGGGCTTAAAGGGCCAGTACATAACTGTGTACTATGAAGCCATGTAGTGTTTTACATACACTAAATCATCCTGATTTACCTAAGGTCAAAATGTATCTTTATTATTCATCCGAGTGAAAGGCGGTCTCCTAAAAGATGATGGCTGGATGACGTTTTGTCCCTTTAATGTGAGGTTTTTGAGATCTTAGCACATGCCATGCATTTCTGGGCTACTACCAGTCGTATGCCTTGTCTTGTCTATACCTTTTTTTGGATACCTCCACTGAATTCCCATGACTATACTTCAGTTGTTTCATAAATCAATATTTTCCTGTGCGCGTTCCAAAAGTGTGTGATGAAAACTCTGTAACAGCTGTGGCGCTGTGTTACATAAAACCTGGCAGCGTCAGGCGGCAGCGGGGATTCAGGATTGTATGAAGTGGGTGCCCAGTGGGAACGGCAGAGGAGCCACCAGAGAAGTGAGAGTTAAAGAGCTCGAGCAACAGCTGAGGGCTCCTCCCCCTTCTCTTCCCATTCATTTTTTATTAACTGCGGCACCAAGCGGCCGGCATCCTCCCAACGACATCAAACGCAGATACCGCCACCGATGCCAACAAGCCATCAACCACAACTCATCATCCCTTGCAGGGTATCGATCCAGTCCAGGACCTGGTGCAAGGCTGAGTCCGGTCATGTTCACGGGCACATGCAGCGGCGTAAAGCAGGACAGACAGTGCAGAGGCAAACGTCTGCTAATTGTCATTAATTAGAGATGAAAGCTGACAAGAGTGCAGAGCCTGGCAAGTCCCTATATATTATTGAACATACATTAAAACGTCACCTGAAATCCCATGAGGTTTTACGGGATGTAAATGTGTTCAAGTCCTTGGGGTGTTTGTAATAAAATGGTTCTTTTATAACCATTACAGGAGGTGACAACTAATTTAACATGATTCACTGTAGATATAAGAGCTGCCTGGTAGCAGCCGAATCATCCTGGGATTGCATGCAGGGTTGCAGTTGAGGTTTAATTGGTAAATGCAGTCAGTCACCTGTTAGACTGAAGACAACATTGCACGTAGCTCATATAATCAGTGCTGTCAGGCTGCTGGAAAAATATATGTAAAGATA